AAAAAAAAAAAAAAAAAAAAAAAAAATTTAAAAAAAAAAAAAAAAAAAAAAAAAAAAAAAAAAAAAAAAAAAATTATAGATAATGAAATTTTATAAAAACATGTTTATTATAAATTTCTTATATTTCGTTGAAATTTTCCTTAAAATTAATGTTTATTAATTTTTTGTTATAATAATAATTATAGAACAAAAAAAAAGATTTATTAATTTAGGAATAAAATGATTTTATGGAAAAAAAAATCTATTCAGCTGTTTCTGTTAATATTATATTATTTAATTAATATTCTACTTTATACACACAGCTTTAATATAGAGTTTTATAATAACCTTAAATATTGAATAACATAGATTCGACGATAGTTTATCAAATAAGCAGTCGAATACCAAGTTATCGAGTGTTAGTACGTGCATTTTTCTTCTTTAATATTTATAATGAAATTAATTGGATAATGGATTATTTTAAGATTCTATTTTCTTTTTCTTAAGTCTATAAAATGCAGAATCAGATAAATATAAAAGTTGACGGTAATTATTAATATAGTTTGATTAATATAATTTGATCGCAATTTCAAGAATATCATCAAATCAGACTCATCATTTAATGTGTTTAAATATTAAAGAAAAAGCCTTTGTTAAAATCTTGATAAGAAATGCTATTTTCAATTTGACATTAAATAATATTAAATTAATGAAATTGTATAAATATTTTTATAGGTGATAAATACGAACCTGTACTACTGGATAATATTTACAAAATGCACATGAAATTGACTATACGAACAGTAGGACTAGGAGACTATGGAACATACAAATGTATTTCAAAGAATTCTCTTGGCAGTACCGATGGGACTATAAAACTTTATCGTAAGTAACTTGTCCTATTTCTTAGTAAATATATTGTTTGTTAAAAATAATTATTTAAAAATATTATTATAGATATTAATTATATTTCTAGAGTATCAAAGTATATTCCAGTAGAATTATAATCTTTTTAAACAGAATTTATGTTAAATGAATATATGTTAAACGATTAAATTATATACTTACTTTGTCTCAATTAATAAATTATATAGAGAAGTTTTAATTAACTTCCATTAATTAATCTATAACATTTAAATATTATTTATCTTGGTATGTGTTTAATGTATATTATACACGTTGTTATTAATAATCAAGTCTTATAAAAGCGTGTATAAAAGAAGTTATACACTAAAGACATAGACAAATTGTTGCAATTAGTTTTAAGAATTTAAAATGAATATTTCTGCAAATAAAATTACATAAATATTTTTAATAATCTGATACACATATTTTCAATAATATTAAAATGAATTTAATATTTATTAATCTTAAATAACACAACTTTCATATATATCAAAATTTTTTTTGTTTTATGAAGATTATCTTCCAGTGGTTTATCTGTGATGATTTGATTGCCAATGGTATTAATTTTTTTACGTTAATTTCTATTTTAAATGTGATACATTGTATATTTTATATTATTTGAACATTTATAAATAAATAATAATTGTAAATTTTTTATTATAAAAATTAATTATTTTCATATCATCTGCTAATATTTTAAACAATATATAAGTAGAATTTGGAACGAAGTATCATACGTCATTCTGATAAAAATGTTTTGTGAAACTAAATCATTAAATGATCATGAATATAATATCAAACAAGAGGTGCGTGCATAACCTATTAAATGTAATTAAATTGTAATAGATTTATAAATTTAATATATGGTATAGTGAAATAACGAATTTTTCAAATCGATTCATACATTTGATATAATTTATAATATCCATTAGATAACGAGGCGAGATTATGACCAAAAACAATTAATCACATGGTCGTGATCGAAAATTCTTTTTCTTTTTCGGTCTTCGAATTGCATGTTTGAATGAAAAAGGTTCGATTCTGGTTCTTGGATGATAAGGCACGAATGCTTTGCTTTCTTTTTATCCATACAATAAGAACTTTTCCGACGCTACTGATGGAGTGCGCCCTCTTGTTTCAGACATCCCTACACCAACGACACAACCAAAAACGACGTCTACACCGACTCCCACTGTCACCAGAGGTAAGGTAGACGACGTTGAGCGAATTCTTCTTTTCCTTACTTTTTTTTTCTTGACAAGTTTAAAGCCGTTTAAAGATTGAATTCGCCCGATGAAAAAAGTTTTTACAGTAACAAAGGAACTTTTAAGCACAAAGATAATGTTTCTTTATTTTTCAGCTTATAATCAGAATTTTATGTTTAATCGGCTTTCTATAAAACATTAATGACAGAGCAGCCAAACTTGACTAATTGAATATTACATTATTTACAATTGAAAATAATCATAATGTAATTTTAACATTTGAATAGAAATAAAAATTATAATTTTTTACCAAATGTAAGTAAGAGATTAATATTATTTGTTTCAAAACTATAAATTGAATTAAATTTTTATTTAAAATTATACGTGCACTAAAGAAATACAAATTTAAAATATATATGAATTATTATAAAATTCGTACATTTTATATTATATATATATATATATATATATATTAAATATGAATTTATACCTAAATCCATATTATAACCCTATTGAAAACATTTTCAATAGATGTATATATATATATATATATATATATATATATATAACTTCTTAATTTATAGATGTTAATAAATTCGTGAAATATTTCTTTATAATAATTATTATAAAACGAGTATTAAACGATGTTTAGAATCTTATTCATAATTTTTCTGCTTTTTGTAAATTACTAAAATAGATAGATGATAGTGAAGTTTAAAATTTACTAAAACATTTTAAAATATCGAAATTTTATATTAATAATATCAGGATGATTAAAAGTATTAATTAATATTATTGTTTTAGTAGTCAGTGATAATTATAATATATCCATTAAATGAAAGTATAATCATATTTAAGAAAGAAATTTTTTTTCATATAGAACCATTTTATTCTAAATGAATTCATTATATTAAAAATTTAATACGAATTTCATACATTTTGACGAGAATTAGATTATATATAGCTTCTTCATGCAACTATGTCGGTGGCGGCGGAGGGTAGAGGGAACGTTTTGTCGTACGAAAAAATGAGAGAAGGAAGAAATATCGAGTTAGGTATGTGGATTAATTAGATGTCTCACGAACTACGAGAAAAAGTCCAACTGACAAAGATCATTTGAGGATTAATTATTATAGTGAGGTGTAGGATTTGAAGACAAAGTATTTTTGTAATAGATAAAACAATAACGAATTATAGATGTACAGATAGCTGGGTAAAAAGAAACATGATGGTGTAGGTATACAGTTGTTAAAAAGTTGTATAGCGCAGGTAGATGGAAGGGAAAGAATGGGAAATAGATCGAATTATTTTTATTGGGAATGATCAAGTTAAACTCTCAGTGAAACCTTTGATTCGGCAGATGAGATTTTACTCGATTGTACGTCAGGTTTTGCGTGACTTGTTTCCGGTTATATAAGCGCCAGCGTGTATATTATTTCTATCGCGATGTAATAATTGAAATTATAATTTACTAATATTGCAATAATACTTCTAACAAATTATATTCATCCTGTAATTATTTTAATATCTAAATTTTATCATTGAATATACAGAAAACTTGTTGGCCCGTTATAGATTTCCCAGTAACTACTTGATAATTAATTTTTTTACTTGCTTATTTGTTTGCTTAATTATTTATGTACTTGTTCGCCTATTTTGTGCTTGCTTACTTACATATTTTCATAAGAATGATAACCGAGATGATAAATTTTCATAGATAAAACAACAGTTTTATGAAATGTTTTTAGAAACTACATTGAATAAATAATAACATGAAAAATAAAAATTTCAGCCGAGAAAAAGCAAAGATCTAGACATAGAATCACACCAAGTGTACAGCCTCGAATAAATGAAATCACAATTACTTCAAGACCAGCAGCGAGTAAAGAAGGTAAATATTCAAGAAGCTATACAAAGCTTTCATCGATTAATATGTTAATAAGCATTAAATAACCAAATGGTAATTTCCACGTTTTAATTAACAATTATTAATCTCATATTAAGTATCAGTAATTGTATTCACTTGTATCGGCATAGCGTACGAGCTTTCTAAATATTGAAAAACAACATTAATTTACATTTTTGCTTTTTATTTTTAATTACTACCGTTAATTGATAAACACTTATGTAATATTTTCTAAATAAATATTTTACTTAGTATATTCAATATCCGCGCAATATTCTTTAATTTACATAAAAAAATTTTATGTTAGAAATTATAGATGAACTAATAATATATGTTAATACTATTACGTTGGGTTTTATTGGTATAAGCCTATAACATTTTATTAAAATTGAACAATTTATATATCGACATTTGATATTTTAGATTGAAATTTTACCATAAAATTTAAATAAATAATGGACATTGACAGCTACGTTTTATTTGAAAGTTAAACAAAACTTTATGAATTAATTCCGAAAAACAATTTTAAATAAGTCGATATCAATTAAATTACTGATTTATCGAATAATATAAAATTTTTAGTATTTTTAATCAAAATTGAAAATTTACATTAATTACAAAAATATATGTAATTACATATGATAAGTTTTATAAATATTTCAATGCAAATTGAAAACGACGTAAAACTTTATAAATGTATGTAGAAATCTTTTGTTTTTTCATAAAATTACTAATTAATTTCAAATTAATATTTAACAATGATGAATCACATAATTGCTAAGCTATTCTATGAAAATTCATTTTATTAATGTATAATATTTAATATTTCTATCGAACATTTAGTAATTTATAGCATATCAAATCGATTCTATGGTTTCAAATTAATTAATGATTGAAAGTTTAATGATAATCGCTGAAACATTAATTGTTAAATAGCTTCCAATCGTATGTTAATTATGAATTTATTTCATTTCTTAACTAAATGAAACGTATGGAAATTTAATCATAAATACAATGGAGGATAATAGTTTAGATCTTTTTCAAAGGAAAGCTAAATATCTTATTAAGAGGTAGATTATTGATAGGATTATATACTTACATGCCAGACAAAATTATTTTATGAATATTATAAATAATAACTCTTCGATATTATAAATTATATTTTCGGAATAATGCAATAGTTTGTAATAGCGATACTATTGATTATTCGATGCCCTATTGCTTCTGATTAAAACCATGATATAAAATATTTTTCGTATTTTTGTAATGTGCAGTTTAGTAAATGAAAAGAATCGTCGAATATCAGAGATGAGTACTGTGGGAAAATAAAAGCGATATTCGAGATTATTAAAAAATTAATGCTTTTGCATATCTAAATACAAGGGGAAAAAATTCTTTTTAAACGAATCTTGTCCTATGCTGACTGTATAAAATAACATTACAATAGCAAAAAAAACAATAGAATACAAATTTTAATGAGTGATGAAGGGGATGAGCGGCTAACTGATTGATAGGTCAGTGAGCAACGATGAGGGTTGTTGGATATTGATAAAAATGCTTTACTTGTGAACTTCATCCAAAAAGAGACTTAATATTTTGGATTTGACTGCCAGATTCAGTAGTGACGCTCAATTGTGGTTCTTGTACGTGTACAGTCGGTGGCACGGTGTCACGGGGAATCAAGCTGGAATCTACTTTTGGAGACTACGTTGCCACGTGGTCAGCAACCATAACTTCTGTCAAACTTTTTCCCATACTTTTCGACATTATAATCTATAAAATTGTACTTTTCTTGTTTAGTTTTTAATTGATTGTACAGAATCAGAAAATTGTCTCTGTATATGTACGTACTCCCTCTATATCACATTTATAATTTGATTATAATCTCATTTCGTTGATTATATTACTCATTATGTTATTCATTATATTAAATATATTGATACGCTAGATTAATTAGTCGAGTACTTCGATAAGTCTATATTATTGTTCATCTAGCGTCGACTAATTTAATGGTATGCCACTATATTCCGACGATGTAATAGTAGTATTTCAGTTATAGGTTAACAAAATATGGCGCATTAAATATAATATTTTCATAAAACTCTGTAACGAGTAGTAAAGAATTTTAAGAAAATTAATTATGAAAGAGGAAATGATAAGAAATGTTTAAGAAATGTAAATTGATATAAATAAGATAACAAAAAATAAATTTACAAGAATAAAAGTAATAACATAAAGACATTGTAATTAAAATGCATATCAATATAAGATATTATTCGTTTTAGATAAATAATAATTTCAGTCGAAAGTATTTGTAATTCATTTTTAATAATTTTAAATAACGTGTGATTGTATAAATGAATAAATGGTTTTTGTATTATGATACACTTGATACAAAATTTCTCCCTTCATTGTAAATTCAGTTTATACGATATTTAAATGGTTTCTATTTTTATATGGAAACCGATATTTTCATAGACTACAATGAACAAATGTAAAATTATATTTTCACTTCCGTCACATATAATTTTTTTTTCTTCTCTTCTGCTCATTCTTAATTTGTTATTATTATGATTTCTTTTTTATGTAGATACACGACAGAATCGGGAGCGATCAAAGAACGACGCAGTTGTTATTGGAAAAGCCGGAGCGAATACTGATCGTAAAAATGCCAGTAATAACAAGAATAATCATGTTAACAATAACTATCATGAACAAAGATTGGAAGCGCAAAGAAATAAATCTACCCAATCGAGGTCGTCAACTTCTGCATCAGCCGTTTCAATGGCATTACCCCCGAAATCATCGAGAAATCAAATGATAGCTGGAGTTTGTCTCATTTTGGTTTTCCTCCATGGATTCTCGCATACGTAGTCTAAGCGAATTGGTTTCATATAATTTTATTTTTAGGGACTTGTAAAACACAGAGTATATCAATAATGTAATACAATAGGAAGAAAATACGATGTATTACAGTTAGTTGTGTATAAGTGTGATTATTGTTTGCGAGTAAGGACTGGACTTTTATAATATTGAACAAATGTTCTGAACCTATGAGTGTACAATGTTTATGATTCTTGTAAATATAACAGATTTCATATGCGATGTTAACCTAGTAAAAGTATAATTCTATGTAATGAAAAGTGGTATATAATCTGTGGTTACAAATACTTATGCTATAAGTAATTCAATATTAAAAAAAAATTATATGGGGTCAAGTTTATAAAATTTATAATATGATTTAATTTATGATATGAATTGGATTGAAAAATAAATACTAGTTTTAGCATCAATTTTGAAACAGTAAATATTTATATTCATATTA